GAATAAAAATAAATATACATATATATATATTAATAATAAATATATAAAATATTTATATATTTAATTATAATTTTTATATATATAATTATATATATTTATTAATATATTTATAAGTTATTTATTTTATTTTTTATTATTTATTTATATTTACATTTTAATTTTTTTTATTTTTTTTAAATAATATTTAACATCATTTTTCATTTATTTGTTTGTTTTAAATTCAAAAATTCATAAATTAGATATTAAATTTAGTAATATTTTATTTATTTTAATTTATTTTTTATATAATTTTTTTTTAATTTATTAATAAAAATAATTATTTATAAAATATAAATAAAAATCAATAAATTTAATTATATAATTATTTATAAATTAAAATATTTATTATATTTTTTTTTTTAATATAAATTTAAACAAATAAAATGGAAAAAAAAAATATTTTAGCTGCTGATGATGATATATTTGCTTAAAAAATGTTTTAATAATTTTCTACTGTTGTTGAGTCATCAACTGTATTAGTATCAGACGGATATTAATGTTTCAATAAATTTTAAGAAAATCCATCTTCTTTTAACATTATATTTATAGATTTAACAATGCCAGTATTGGATGGATTCGATGTATATTTAAACGAGAAAAAATATATTTTTATATTATAAAATCCTTTTAAATATGTAATATATTTTATTTTATAATTATATAGACCGCTAAAAATATCAGAGATTATGAAAAGTTAAAAGGATTAAGTAGAATTCCTATGTATGCGATGTCTGCAGGTAAATATTTACAATAAATAAAAATAAAATAAAATATAAACAGATGATGATGATAATACTTTAAATAAAATAAAAGCGTCTGGAATGGACGGATTATTAAAAAAGCCGATTAAACCTGCAGAATTAAAAGCTATTTTAATTAAATGAGATATATAATATTTTATATAATTAACTTTTTGTTAACAAAATATAAAAAATCATTATTTAAATTGTTAAGGTAATTATAAACATTAATTAATAATATAAAAAATAAAATATCTTGTTTATTTTTTTTTAAATAAGCAAATATTTTTTAATTATATAAATAAAATATTTATAAATAAAAAAGGATTTTTTTTTATTAAGCTATATTATTTTAATTAAATATATTATTTTTATTTTATATAAATTAAAAAATATTTATTATATATATATTATTTTATTTTTAGTTAATTAAATAAAAAACAAAAAATTAATGAATATCTATTTTTATAAGTTTTTATTTAATTATTTTTAATCAAAATAATATTATTCTTATTTAAATTAAATTATCTACAAAAATAAAGAATAATCAGAATATAAATGACACTAAATAATTGCCAAATAAAGAAAATAAACTTAATAATTTACTATTAAGTATGAAAAATTATAAGTCAAAAGGCTAAAATTATTTAAAAGTTTAATTATTTATTAAAATTATTAAATATAGTATATTAATTATAAAAAATCAGCAATTAAAAAATAAAATATATAAGACATTTATATATACTATTTTAAAATAAAACATTTATATATTAAATAACTTTTAAATATTCTTTTTAAATAAAAAACAACTTAATATATTTTTTTTTTATAATGAATTTTTATTTTTTTGTTTATATAATATATTTTTTATTATTTATATACATTAAGGCTTTAAATAGGATATAAACCTTTAAATATATATATATATATATATATATATATATATATATATATATATTTATATAATATATATATATATTAAATCATTAAATAATAAAAAATATATAAACAAAAACTGATAAATATATAAACCTTTATGCATGTTAGTTTGCCCTTGTTACTATGTTTAGAGTAGGTTATGAAGATGTAAAACATTAAAGTTGATAAGAAAAAATTTAATAATATTGATAAATTGTTTTTTGCGGATTTAAATATATGCATTTATTTGAATATAAAAAAATATTTCGAATTTAGTAATATTAAAAAAAGAATAGTTTTAGAATATATTATGAATTTATATAAATTTATATTGTATATAATATATATATATATATATTATATAATATATATATATATATATTTATATAATTAAATTATTATCAAAATAAAATTTTAAATAGATTTTCATAAATTTTTTTAAAAGCTAAATACATAAAAAAAAATTTTCATATTTTTTTAAAAAAATTTCATAATATAAAAATTATTAATTAATTCTATCTTTACTTAAAAAACTATTTAAAATATTTTTCGTAATTGTTTGTTATAATAATAATAATATTTTGATATAATCTTATAGGAATTTCACAATAAACTAGGCACTTACTGAATTGAAACAATAATATATATAATATTTATTATATAACTTTTTATAATTTTTATATTTTTATTTTTTAATTTTTTTATACTTCGAAATTACAAATATTTCCAATTATTATTATTATTTTTAAACTTATTTTTTATGAAAACTTAATTCCTAAAAAAGCTTCATATAACATCCTATTCCACTCAATTTCGAATTCTCGATATTTTTAAAATTTGTACAATAATACAATTTATTTCATATTAAAAATTGCAGTCATCAAAAATATCAAAAACTCATTTATTTTTCGCTTCAATAAGTGTAATAATCATATATATATATTCCTGATTTTCGATTATACTACTATTATTTCTTATTACTTCAATAAAGAAGCAAAAATGGCTGACGCAAGTATATTTTTGATGGCGATTACTTCCAAAAATAAAAAAAGGTTTGAAAAAAAAAAAGGCAGTGGATTAGCCGGTTTAATTATAAGCATATAGACATAAAAAATGATTGAAAATAAAAATTAGAAGCGCCGCTATTTTTAAGACTTAAGATATTTTCATTTTTTTTTTGTTTTTAAAGAAACAAAAAAAGAAAATACTTATTTAATTTATTAAATAGTATAATTATCATATAAATATGATAAAATGAAAAAATATATAAAATAAAATATTATAGAGAAATGAAAATGTTAATTTTAAAAAAAAATGTATTTGTTTATTTGAAAAATAAGCATACATATATAATAATAATATATGTATATATATATATATATTTATATAAATAATAATAATAATCATATAGATCCAGAATAAAAATATAAGCAATTCAAACATGAAACCGCAATAGTATTTGAAGCTTAAGAATAAGAAGCTTTGAGTGCTTTTCTAGTAAAATCATATGAAGATGTTAAATTCTCGAAATATTTAGGAGGTATTTATTTACTAATTGTTTTTTTGTTAAAGTTAAGTTCGAATTAATTATTGGTTTCGCCATTTCTATCTATTACATGGAAAGTACTATTAAAATTTCCTGTCACGAAATAATTACTATCAGGACTTGAAGAAATAGAAAACTTATCAAAAATACATTCATTTTCGTAAAGTTCGCATAATTTACTCTTTAAAGGTTCAAAAATAGGAACTGTTGCAACTGGTTTATTAGTCATATTAACATCCCAAATACGTACATTAAGGAAATCTCTAACATAAATATACCTTCCATTCTTTGAAAAAGTAGCATCTGATATACTAGCCACAATTTCAGTAAAGAAATTTTTCTTAGAAGGATCTTCTTTTTCATAATAAGTCTAAGCAGTATTATCACAGACTCCACTTTTTCTCATATCACCTACTTTAGTAATTCCTTTAGAAGTTGTATATAAAAACATATTATCATGTATTGGATGAAACTATGACGAAGTGATAACTTCTGAAAGTTCTTCTAAATTATCGGGTTTTAAATCAACAGCTACAAAAGTCTATATATATAAAAATAATTAATATATACATATATATATAAATATTTATAAATATATATATATACATATATATTTAAATTAATTTATATATATTATTGTTTTTACCTTATTTGTATTATCTACACTCCATAAATTAACTCGTAAATCATCTGAAGATAACATATATTCCTCATTTTATGATGCTGAAATAGAATTAATATGATATGTATGCAAATTCGGGTATACTTTTTTAATAGTAGGCATTAAACCACTTTCTAGAGTTTACAACTTGGGCATATTAAAGTCTTTTCCGGAACTCTTTACTATTTTTTTTATTGTTTTATCTGAAACTTTCCATAATTTTACAGTCTTATCATTTGTAGTTAGTATATATAAGTTTTTACCAGAATTTCTTAACCAAATAATTTAATTTATCTTTTCTTCTATATCAGTAGACTTTAAATAATCGAATTCTCGAGTATGGCTTTATAGTTCTGTCAAATATTAAAATTCACTCCTTTTAGATTTTGTTTAAGCTTATTCAAATATTATAAGACGACCTGCCCGATCTCCTAAAGATAATAAGTTTCCAGATTTATCAAATGCTAAAGCTGATATTATATCTTCTTCAGATACTTTTTCTGATGAGGCTTTATCACCGAATACTTACATGAATTTAAGGTCAAGTTTTGGTATACTTGATTTCATTCTTTTTATTTTTTGTATTTTTTTTTGTATTTTATTTGTTATTTTTTTTTTTTATTAATATTATTTTATTTTTATTATTATTATTATTATTTTTTATTTTTATTTTTATTTTTATTTTTATTTTTATTTTGTATTTTTTTTTTTTTATTTATAAATATATAGAGATAAATATTTTATTTTTAGAAAAAAAAAAAATCATTTATATAAAAATAAACAATTAAATAAAACATTATTTTTTTTAAATAAATAAGTGTTTTCGAATAAATAACTTTTTATTTTATTTTTATATTTAACAAAAAGTATTTAATATATAAAATTTATAAAATAAGCAAAATTAAAATATTTATAAAAAATAATTAAAATATTTCATTATTTTATTTTATTTTATTTAATTCTAAAAATTAATATATTAAAAATTAACTTTTTTTATTTTTGTTAATTGAGTTTTGTAATAATAATTAAAGAAAAAATATAATATCTTTTATATTTTGTTTTTAATATATATTTATTTTAAAAGTAAAATTAAATATAAATTTTAAAATATATATTAATATTTTTTTATTATATTAAAATAATTGTAAAAATGTAAAATATTTATTTTATAAAATTAAATAATTTTTATTTTTTTAAAATAATAATATCTAATAATAATTTATTTTATATAAATAATAATAATAATTTTATAATTTATTAATTTTTTATTTATAAACTAATATTTTAAATTTGTAAATTATTAAATTAGCAATATTAATGTTATATTTTTTAAAAAAGTATCGAATAAATACATTTTATTTATTTTTATATATAAATATAATTTTTATTATAATTAAATTATAAACATTATATCAATATAATTAAATTTAAAAAATAAACTTTCAGATAATAAAAATCTAAATAAATAATGAATATAATAAGTTTTGTAAATTAATATATTAAATTTATATATATTTTATTTTTTATTTATTAAATTTATTTTTATAATATACAAATAAGAAAAATTTAAAAAAAAATATATGTATAAACAAAATACTTCTTTTATATAATATTTGATAATATTTAATTTGTATCAATTTTAAAATATACTCTAATATAATTGTTAATATTTATAAATTTATATAATAAAATAAAATAAAAAGAATTTTGAAATATATAAAAATATTAATATTTAAGTTTTAAAGAAAGAATTAATAAAAATTTAAAAAACATAAATTATGTAAAAGATAAAATATAAATAATAAAGTAATAAAAAAATCTTTAATAAAATAACATATTTAAAAATGTATTCTAAAATTATTAGTATGTAATGAATTATATAGATAGTAAGAATTATAGAAAAAAATTTATTAAAAATTAAATTGTATATAAATATAAATTTAAATATATATAAATATATATCTATAATATATATATATATATTTATTATTATTTAAATATATTATATTAATATATTTTTATTTCTATCTAATTTTTTATATTTTTTTATTTTTTTAAATATTATATAATTATTTATATTTAAATATGTTTTTTAAATACATCATTTAAAAGAGGTTTTTCTAGAAATTAATAACTTATATTTTTGTAATATATATATTTTTCAAAAAATTATTCAATATCAAATTCATTTTAATTATTTTTTTTATAGAATATTAATGTAATTAAGTATATAAATTCATTTTAATTTATTAAAAATAGTATAAAATTATAATTTATATAATAAATAACTAAATAAAAATAATTATTTAATATACGTTAATAAATAATTTAATTTGTACTTTTTTTATAATTTATTTTTTAAAATATAATTTACTTGTATTAATAATAACTAATTAGTTAATATTTTAATTACAAAATATTTATTTGCTTAATTTATTATATATTTTTTCGAAACAAATTATTTATTTATTTTATATAATTTATTATAATATTTTAATACAAAAAAATATTATTTATATTATTTACATATTATTTTAAATAATGAACAAACTATATATATATTTTTTTTTTATTTTATGATTCAAAAAAAAAAAAAATTATGAGTAACTTATTTATTAATACAATTATATATATAAATTTGTTAAATTCTTTAAATTATAATAAAATATATATTTTCAGCTCTATTCTATATTTTTATAATAAATAAAACTTATATTTAAATACATTTATTTATCTAAAATATGACTATTTATTTATATTTTTTTAAAAAAATTATATTTTATTTGTTTTATCTTTATCCATATCTGAATAAAAAGAATGCGAAAAAAACTTAAAAAATGCATTTAAACTAAAAAAAATAATACATATCTTAGATTTTTTTATAAAAAAAGATATATTTAAATTTAATTTATATTTTTTTTAATTTCTAATTAAAGAAAAATAAAATAAAATCTTAAACAAATAAATAATTATTATTATTATTATTTTTTTAAAAAAAAATATTTTTATAAAAAAAAATATAAATTTATATATTAAATAAAGGAACAAGTGCGCTATATATAAAAATTCTATATATATAACAAAAATAAATAAAGCAAATATATATTTATATTATAAAATATATCAGAATATATATTTTCATTACATTAATAATAAAAAAAAAATATTAAAAAAAAAAAAAAAAAAATGTAAAGAGATTCTAAAATTTAAAATTAAATTATATATTCTCCTATTCATAATTATACAGAAAAAAATAATTATAATTCCAATTTATTAAACTCTAATATGAATATAAATTATTTATAAAATCTAATAATAAATAATTAAATAAATTAATTATTTTGCGAAAGAAGTAATAATAGAATTCCGAGTATAGCACGAGGAGAAACGTAAAAAAATAAACTTATAAAAACACAATCTTTTAATTATTATAAAAAAAAAAAAAATAGTGAATAAACACCTGAACTAAATTATAATATTTTTTCTAATAAAAATTCGTTTTATCCAAACCCTTAATATAATAAAAATAGTATAATTCGTCCTTTTAACAACCCAGAATAAAACGATTTTTTAAAAATGGTATGTAGTCCACATCTAGTAGATAAAAAAACAAACGATTTTCATGAGGGATCTCTTAAAAAATAAACAAGTTATAATAATAATTAATAAAACTAATAAATAGAAATTGAAATTTCACAAATATACGATAATATCCTTTAAGAATTCCAAAAAGAATCCAATAAAACTGCTTAATATAAAAAAATTAATTTCCAAGACAATATATAATAAATCTAAATAATAACTTAATGTAATACAAGTAATAAATAAAAAAAGCAGCCCATATAAACCCTAAATTCTTTGCCGAATAAATTATTAATAAAAAAGAGTAATGTTATAAAGTCTTCTTTAACTTAAAAACAAGATAAAAAAGAAATATCAGAAGAATAAAATAATTTAAACTAAAATTAAAGTAGTGAAAAAATATATACTGAATAAAAAGAAAATAACCAAGAATAATATTAAAGAAATGTTTAATTTTGTAAATGTAGAAAATCTAAATGTTTAAAATTATATTGCGAGTGTTTTCTATTAAGTAGAATTTGTAATGAAAACTGTTTATGTGTTAATTGTGGAAATAATTGCGAAAACTAAAATTAAAGAACAATGGCAGTAAATGACGCAAAAAATAGAAATCCGAATGCCTTTAATATCAAATTTTAAATTATTGAAGAAAAATAAGACGATAAAATTGTAATACATAAAAAAGGATGTACTTGTAAAAAATCTAATTGTTTAAAAAAATATTGTGAATGCTTTAATGCAGGAGTACTATGTAATTAAAATTGTGTATGCGATAGTTGTAAAAATATGCAAAAAGAAGAAAATAATTAATAATAAAATAGATCTGAAATAAATGTATAAAATATTGAAGATTCTATTAAATAATAAGAATGAAATTTTTTATTGTAATATATAATAAATTAATTGTATTAAAAATAATAATACTTATTTAAATTATGTTTTAATATATTTGTAATAATGATAAATATAATAATAATAATTATAATAATAATAAAAATAATAATAATAATAACAATATATATAATAATAAATAAAAATAAATATATTTTGTTTTTAATAATTTATATATTGTATTTATATATCTTTTTAATCTTATTTTAAAAAAAACAATATGTAATAATATAAATATAAATATAAATATAAATATAAATATAAATATAAATATAAATATATATATATACATATTTAAATATATATTTATTTTTCTATATTTTTTTATTTAAATTATTATTAACAATAAAAAATATTTTTAAATATTTTTTTTTTTATGTAATATTTAATTTCTAATGTACTATCATTAATTATATATATTTTTTATTTATTTAAATATAATCTAAGCTTTTTACTTATATATAAAATTTTTCCTTTTAATTTTATCTTTTTCATTTTTTTATATTATATTTCTATGTTTTTGTAAAAATATTTTTATTTTTTAAATTAGATATTATTATATTTT